ATTTTGCACAACATGAATAGAGTGAACAATTATGAAATTATTTGTAGAAAAATATAACTCTTAAACCCATAATTTCACAAATGTCCATGGTTAAGCACACTTTAGATATACATTTTCATGCTTTCATCAATATAACTCATGAGAAATGATGATGTAGCTAGACAAATCTTTCAAGGGCGCATCAAGCCTTTGCTATAGTAGGGCACCATAAAAGTCGCATTGTTGTTCCAAAGGCATTGGGAAATAGAGATCAAGGTGAGACAAATTTTCTCAACAAGAGGATACCTCGATTCAGCTCCCTTGAGATTTTGGCTAACATTGTAAACAAGTTGCTCGTTGCCTTTTTTATCGTCTTAAGTGACTAGAGCACCCACAACCTTGTTGAAAGTAGATAAATAAACCTTGAGCAATCTACCTTGCGCAAGAGCAAATATGGTCAGTAACCTCAGCATGAGATCTTACAGGTGTAAGAAAGCATGTTGATGTTCGTCCGTCCATGCGAAGGTTGCTCCCTTCTTTAACAAAGGACTAAACACAAAGAGGATTTCTACCAATGAAAGAATGAACCTATGGATGTAAGAGACTTTGCCAATGAAACTCTACAACTGTTTGAGATTCTTGGGGGGTTGCATAGCTCAGATAGCCTCAGACTTGGCTAGGTCTACATTGATGCCATGTTTGTTTATAAGAATGCCCAGGAATTTTCTAGAGGAAACACCAAATGCGCACTTCATTGGGTTCATTTTCAACTTGTACATGCGGCATCTGTCGAAAACTTTTCTCAGCACATCGAAGTGACCCAACCTTGTTTTGGATTTCACAATGATATCACCGATATAAAAACTCAATGTAAATGTGGATGAAATCATGAAAGATGGCCACCATTACTCTTTGATAAGTAGCCCCAACATTTTTAAGTCCAAAAGGTATAACAACATAATAAAAGTTACCAATAAAAATATGAAAGGCATTTTTCTCTGCATCGTTAAGGCACATACTGATATGGTAATATCTGCCACTGCCATCCATAAGAGAGTACATTTCGCACCTGGCAATGTTATCCATGAGCACATCCATATTTGGTGTGAAAAATTCATCCTTCAAACATGCTTTGTTGAGATCGCAAAATTAGATACAACACCTGATTTGCCCATTTTTCTTCCACACTGGTACAATGTTGGCCAACCAAGTGGGCTTTTTGGTCGAAGTAATAAATCCTGTAGCCAAAAGCTTTTCAACTTCTTCTTTAATTTTAATAATGATTTCGGCATGGAATGCACAATTCAGCTGCACAACTAGTTTTACTTTGGGATTAACATTCAAAGAATGGGCCACCAAGGCTGGATCAAGCCCAGGCATCTTGTCATAATTCCAAGCAAAGACATCCTTATATTCCCTAAGCAAGTCGTTCATCTTGGCTCTTTCGTCAGCAAAGAGAGTGGTGCTGATATGTACATATTTGGGATTCGAAGGGTTGTCCCCAAGATCAATATCCTCAAGAGACTCGAAAAAAGTAAGCACGAGTTGAGCTTCATGAAGAGTTGGCAGCTTGTCTGGCGAAGTGATGTAACCAACTTCGCCAAAAGATTCCAAGTGTTCAGCGAGTACTTTGTTTTTAGCTTCAAGGGTTAAACATTTTGATTCATTGGACAAGGCCAATAGATTAATAAAAGTATTCTTCTCCACACTAACAAGTGAACAGTCAGAGGGCATAGCTGGACTGCTAGCGATGGGGCCATCCCGCATATGGCTGAAAGGCCCCATGCACCTTCATAAAGTATATTTGACCTTCCCATCAGGAAGGATAGTCTAGGTGCATTTTGGGCGCACTTAAGTAGCCTTTGTTGCCTTTTTCCTCTACCTTTTATGCTTAAGTATACTCCGTATATCCATGTCAGGATTATCTTTGATGTCACTCCATGTTAGCAAAACAGTACCCATTGGGCGAGATACCGTTGCTTCTTTGAAGATCACAAACTCATCGTAAAAAATGGCTACAACGAAGTGAGTTTCAATCTAATCAAATGGCAATGCATTGGTGGGATACGAAAGACTTTCCAATTTAAACAACCCTTAACACATTGATGATAAGTAGAGGGAATAATTTTGTGTTGATGTAGCCATGGTTGTCCTAGCAATATGTGATAGGAAACTTCCACATCAATAACATAAAATGTAGTTTGAGATTGAACTGGGTCAACCTTCAACTCAAGCTGAACATACCCAAAAGCATGCTTATTGCCACTTTGGAAGCCAACAATGCTAAGAAGAGACTTGACAATCCTTCACTGGGAAATTCCTACAACGATGATAGTGCTTAGCGGTATCATATTGAGAGAGGATCCAGTGTCGATTAGTGCCCATCTAACACTGACGGAGTTAATTTAAGCCAATAAATAGAAAGGCATTTTATGATCGAGATATGGTGCTTCCATGTCTTCGTTAGTGAACTCAATGATTGGCACACTTGTTTCGGTGTTTTCCATATGAGTAACAACATTAACAACACCTTGGTTATGGCATGGAAGAGGGTTGTCATCCACTCTTTGTCTTCTATTCAAAACTTCAAGCAACCCTTCCATTGCTTGATGGTGGTATATCCTTCTTAAGGTAAAACAGTCCATGGTTGAGTGATGTACAAAGCAATGATAATGGTAGTACTTGGGGTCGCACTTTTCATCATCACTAGGTTCGTGTAGTGGCTGCAACAGTGTTATAGCACCATCAACGATCCATTGGTCCAATAGTACATCAAGCTCTTCGATAGTAAAAAGGATGGGTGGTTACGGTGTTACGTCATAATCTCTCCTCTTTTGGTCTTGCCCCTAGCCTCAGACAGAGACAACCAGAGTATAGGTAGTGGCTTTCTTTTCCATTGTCTTCACTACAAGTTTCCTAGTGGAGATAGCTTTGACAAAGATGGCTAATCTTCTGGCAGCATCAAGTGGCCTAGTAAATTGACTAACCCATATGTTTTTTAGGAAGGTGTGATATTCTAGAAACATATTGTTGATACAAATTTCCACCAGAAAAGATTCAACATGGCCACTATAACATTCAAGCTCTAAGTCTCAGAATCTCTTTACATAGGCCATCAAATCTTAGTCGATACGCTAACAAGTATCATGGAGGTCAAGAATGGTGATACGTTCTTAACTTTGAAACTATTTTTGGCAGAACTGTTAGACCATCTCATCCCAAGAACGAATAGAGCTAGGGAGCAGAGTGGTGTACCACGTGTAAGCCTTATCAGAGAGAGACTTAAAGAACTCATGTAGACACAAGTCCCTATCACCAACGTGAGCCCCCATAGCATCAAGGAATTTGCTGACATGTTCCATAGTGCTCCCTTTTCTCCAATCATATTATGGGAATGTGGTACTATTATAATTCTTTGGGTAAGGTTTGGACAGGATTTCCCTTAGATATGGTGGATCATGGACAAACTGAAAAGTGGTTAGGCTTTGTTTAGAACACTCTATGTCCAAGATAGCAGTGAGGTCCACCATGTTGACGAAGCCTTGAATAGAATCAGCTACATTTTGTGGAGGCCCATTGGTGCTAATGGCTACAACCGCTGGCAATACTAAGTCATTTGGTCATGCAACATAACCCCCATCACCATCAATAGCCCCAACTTGAATTTCTTGTGGTTGGGAAGTTATAGCCACGTTGACCGATGGTGTTGGGTCATGCACAACACACTGAGTTTACAAGTTGGTGAAAAGTTCAGTAGTCCTTTACTGATCTTCATGCAAGGCCTAAATGACTTGCACTAGTGATGCAAGGCTGGGATTAGAAATTCCTTGCAAGATATCATTGAAAACATCTGTCGATGGGCACAATTGTTGAACTTCCCACCCATCATTTTGGCCAAATTCCTACTTCCCATCTACAATGCATGATGAAGTTACCCTAGTCATAAGCATGGTTAGAAAAATTTTGCTAATGACAAAAGAACACTGCTACAAAAAAAGCTAGATATGGTAAATAGCTAAAGAAGAGCAAAGCAAGATGTCGCTATAGAATGACCTCCCCAATGGAGTTGTCATTTTTGTTGGGGTGTAGGTGATCATTTGGGGGCTTGCAAGTGGGTGACCCGATCCCACTCTTGATGCTAACCATCTAACTCGATCTTTTGATGCTCAAGAAAAATGGCTGAGAGATTGAAATTGCACTATGCTATCTTCTAGCCATGTTGTTCCACAAATCTAGGAATTATCCTACAGTGCTGGGAATGCAAAATATGTGAAGGTGAGTGATGATTTATGGGTTGTTGTGTTTGTGTGGCAAAAGATTAGAGGTGAAGAAGCTGCTGCGTGAAAGATGGAAGTCTGAATGTGAGAAGGAAAACAAGGGTTGTGAAGAATCTGATCTATTCTCTTCTTTGGAAAATGAAGAAGAAAAGTACTATATATTTGTGTAGTGATATTTTTGTAATTTCTGGGTTGATGGGTCAGAGCTGCTCAATAGCCTAATGGGTAGATTTAGGTGAATTGTCTAGCTTTGAGTGGCTCTAAGTACTGCTGATAGCTTTCTAGTAGTGATATTATGAATTATCCAATGGTTCTGGCAAAGCTTCGTTGGTTCTAGCAAAGAACTGGAAATTACCATTCCTAACAATTCTTCCAGCCATACAAAATTCCAGTTTTGGGCAAGTACTTAAGTGTAGCCGACAAAATAACATTTGCACAAGATTTTGGTAGATTCCCCAAGGTCTGCACAGGATTTTTGTAGGATTCTCCAAGCAGAAAGTAACCTTTTCAGCAGTTCCCAATACAACTTAACTTGTGCAGCCACCTTTACATTGAATATGGCTGTAGGTTACTGACGAAGACTAAAACAAATCTTTGGTTAATCTCTGATGGGATTTCAAGCTCCTAGTTAGCATCAAAAGGTATTGTTTAGGGAATCAAGTTCACTTTCACGTCTTCACCACCCAGCCCTTTCTAGAAAAGTCAGGCAACATCACCAACACCAAGCTTCGTTGGTGCGGAAACCTTGCTTTACCAGATAGGCAACGTTCACTCATCCATAACTGCCAAGCCACTACTCCTAAAGTTTATCCCAAATATTTCCCATGAGCTTAGATTCATGGGTTCGTGCCCATTTGTATATGAAGGGATAACAAGGACAATCATGGTTGTGCTCTTTTATCCTGTTTGACCCTGCGATACTTGTGAGACATGGCCAGTGACCATGCACCTCATTACTCTTGCATATTGAGGGACAAAGTTACTGGTCATCGGTAATCTCAACTAATGACATATTTCTTCCATGTTCCATGTGTTAGTAGGTATCGTCGACCAGCAATGCTTGGATCAAGACAATGATATCACAACACACATTAATATTGCTCACTCTCTATCTTGGCGCAACACTAGCGATATATAACAACAGTATGCAAACCAATAGCCATAGGGACAACAATGGCTAGCTTTGTCCATAGCTGGAGTGTGAACTATGTGGAATCAAAAGAGCACTCCCACTAATCTGCCAAGTCATGAAGGGGTATATCACACTAAACCAGACTCCAGCATAGCAATGAATATGTCATAGAGAAAGGTGGAGTTGTCTCCATGGAAAGGGGACATCAACCGCATCCATGGCCTCCGATACGACAAGGTGTGATACCACTAACAAACACTGACCCTTCTTATCGTACCCACACTATCAGAAGGTGGTCCTAGTTGTTGTTGATTGCCGTCGATCGCACCACTATGCACAAGCGACCACCAAGAGACCGCCAACCGCTACTTGATGGACTTTTATCGCTGAAGGGTAGCCATCCCGTCCAACCACAGGGTTGCAACTGTTACCGGCCTCACACTAATCGAAACAAGTTGCGCTGACTCTTTGCCCATTCCTAGGATCCAATGAGATGAAATATATAGAAATTCAACCCCTTGTCCATTGTCGGGAGCCAATATAATGAAGATGTGTAGAAATATATAGCCTTTTATCCATTGCTAAAGGCTAAATGATAAATCTAGCCCTCTGTCCACCGTTGGGAGCTATGTAGATGCATCCCATTGTCCATCGATGGGAGCCATGTATGTGCAGCAAAGTCTGCTCTTTATCCATTATTGGGAGCCACAAGATGTAATAATAGATATCGCTATAGAGGACATGACTATCAAAACGTCCAGCCATGTCATGGAAATAAATCTAGCCATGTCTAGAAATAAATGTTGGAGTGAGCCGCACTCTGTAATGTTTCTAGCAAAGTGGATAAATGCTGCTTCTAACGATGCTGACTCTGTTGTAGTAATTAGCAGAAAATAGCATGGCTAACATGAAAAATAAGCCACATGGGCCCTTGTTGATGTGGGACCATAAATGTTGTCAATTTTAAAGCAGTACAAATGTATCCCTCAACAACGTGCAAGGAGCTACGTGCCACGTGCCATCATGCTCTACCCAACAAAGATGACTAGCAATGATTTTCCCAACAAATCTTGACAACAGTTGTTTTCCAGCTAAGCCATAAGAAACCGAGCAACAATGATAGGATATTGGGAACTTGATGATGATTACACAACTACCAAAAATGAAGTGGAAATGAGACATTCATTGTGATGAAGATAGCGTGGATAGTGTCTATAGGTATGCATATACTGATCAAACGTCACAACTTGGAAGATAAATTTACACATGAAACATCATAACATAGTAGTAATGGCAATAAACATGCCCTCTACTATTCCGAATGAAAACCATCACTTTATAGCGAAAGATCCTCATGTTGAAGACACAAAACATGTTGACTTCCTCCTTCATACTTTCTCAAAAAAAAAAGAGATAAACTTGAAAGTAGTGATGGGAGAAGGAAAGATGACCATTGTGGGGGCTTGCAAGTGGAGAGCTAGATCTTGTTTTGGTGTTAATCCCTCAACTTGATCATTTGATACTTAAGAAGATAACCCAAAATCTGGAATTGTAGTATGCTATTTTCCAACCATGATGTCTTGTAGGGCTAGAAATACAGGAAGTATAGGAAAGACAGAGAATTTTCATGGGTTTTTTTGTGTATCTAGTTCAAGGTTGAAGATGAATACTTTTTTAGAAGGAAAAGTGGGGTCTAATACGTCAAAGATGGAACCTAGCTCTATGCCTCTGTTCAAGTCTACCAAAAAATGGAGGAAAAATCAATATTTATGCATTTAATGGCATTTTTTGTAATTTTTGGTTGATGAGTCAAAGGCATACAATGGCCTAATTGGACAAATGTGGGTTAGGTGAGGACAACTGTCTAGTTTTGATTGGTTTAGGTGCTGTTGATAGCTTTTCTAAAGTGATGCCATGCATTGTCTAGCAATTTCAGCGAAGAACTAATAGTTCCAGTGAAGTACTACTAATAGTTCTAGTGAAGTACTACTAGTTCCAACAAAGTCCAACCAACTTGCTGAAAGTTACTCATTTGTGGTAATTCTTTCAACCATATGAAATGCCATGTTTGGGGGGCTTGTGAGTACAATCAATAGAAAAGTAGATCTACCCAGGATTTTGGGGATTTTCCCAACAGATGTAATCCTTTTCAATAGTTTCCCATGCGATGTAACTTGTGCAACCACCTTTATATTAAATACAGTTACAAGTTGCTCATAGGAACTAAAATACAGCATCTCTTATTGATTTTTAATGGGATTTTGAGTCTTCTATTTAGCATCAAAGGGTGCAATTTTAGGGAAGAAGCTTAGCCTCCACGGCTTTGCCACCCAACCCTTCATGGTGAAGTCCAGCAACATTGCTAGCCTCCAAGCTTGTCTAATGCAAGTACCTTGCTTCGCTAGGTGGGCAACGCCAATCCATCCATGCCTACCAAGCCACTACTCCCATAGTTTATCCCAAGCAACTCCTATGAGCTTGGATTCATAGGCTTGTATCCGGTTACAACGAAAACAAAATAAGAGTGAATACTTATTTGCACAATTAAACATAAGATGTATAAATACGTATCGCAAAGAAGGATACTCCTTTATATATCGAAAAAGATAGTGGAGATGAACATCGTTGTGCCCTTTTATCCACCAGCCATGGTGGGCATTTGCATAATGCTTCGTGCATGTTTGGCATTATGCCAAAATAATGAGTGGCGGTGTGGATGTGTACTGCGATATCATTGTCTCAAGCCAAACATCATTGGGCAGTGATACCTATGCCTATAGACATGAAAAAATGTAAAGGGAGTATGTTATAGATTGGGATTACTGATGATCTATAATTTTGTCCCTTTGTATGAAAGAATGATGACGTGCATGATCGCCAGCCATGTTGTATAAGTATCACAAAGTCAACCATGAATAGCTTCCATAGCCAAA